AAATTTACCATAGCTCGTTAAAGGCGCAAAACTATGTTGGAAATCGGCGGAGTAAGGGGATCGTGGAGCAGCGCGCCAGTGTCCACCAATTATATTACACCGACAATCACATTGACAGTAAAATCTTTCCAAACAGTCGTTAAAACGTCAATGTCAATGATTCGTTGGGACCACCTCCGGGCTCCTGGACGTGCGCTACCCATGCGTTTCGAAAAAGCAGTGGATGACCGATCGACCGAGTCCCGATCGACTCGTCTTTCGGCTCGTCCGCTGGTCAAGCGAGCGCATCGGCCATTAGAGCCACTCGCGCACGGCGTGTCATTATTAAATCGCTCTTCTTCCGGTTGTGTCCGGTTATGTCAGTAAACGCACGGAGTGGCCGACTCGACGCGCCCAGATAAGGTAATAATCGTAGGGTGCGAACCTACTCCATGAATTTTATGCCTATTATTCCACGCCCTCTCTCTCTCTCTCTCTCTTTCTCTCTATCTATCTATCTATCTATCTATCTATCTATCTATCTATCTATCTATCTATCTATCTATCTATCTATCTATCTATCTATCTATCTATCTATCTATCTATCTATCTATCTATCTATCTATCTATCTATCTATCTATCTATCTATCTATCTATCTATCTATCTATCTATCTATCTATCTATCTATCTATCTATCTATCTATCTATCTATCTATCTATCTATCTATCTATCTATCTATCTATCTATCTATCTATCTATCTATCTATCTATCTATCTATCTATCTATCTATCTATCTACCTATCTATCCATCTATCCATCTATCCATCTATCCGTCTATCCATCTATCCATCTATCCATCTATCCGTCTATCCATCTATCCATCTATCCATCTATCCATCTATCCATCTATCCATCTATCCATCTATCCATCTATCCATCTATCCATCTATCCATCTATCCATCTATCCATCTATCCATCTATCCATCTATCCATCTATCCATCTATCCATCTATCCATCTATCCATCTATCCATCTATCCATCTATCCATCTATCCATCTATCCATCTATCCATCTATCCATCTATCCATCTATCCATCTATCCATCTATCCATCTATCCATCTATCCATCTATCCATCTATCCATCTATCCATCTATCCATCTATCCATCTATCCATCTATCCATCTATCCATCTATCCATCTATCCATCTATCCATCTATCCATCTATCCATCTATCCATCTATCCATCTATCCATCTATCCATCTATCCATCTATCCATCTATCCATCTATCCATCTATCCATCTATCCATCTATCCATCTATCCATCTATCCATCTATCCATCTATCCATCTATCCATCTATCCATCTATCCATCTATCCATCTATCCATCTATCCATCTATCCATCTATCCATCTATCCATCTATCCATCTATCCATCTATCCATCTATCCATCTATCCATCTATCCATCTATCCATCTATCCATCTATCCATCTATCCATCTATCCATCTATCCATCTATCCATCTATCCATCTATCCATCTATCCATCTATCCATCTATCCATCTATCCATCTATCCATCTATCCATCTATCTATCTACCTCTATCTGTCTGTCTAACTGTCTATCTTTGTCAGCGTGTGTCGGTGGTAGTGCCGATACCCTCCTGGATATTCGATCAAGACGATATTCTCGCGCTCGGCCAACGATGCCGGGGTTGGTTGCCCGAACGGTCGATCGCACACCGACTTGTTTATACCGCTGAGCTGAATTATCGGGCTCGTGATTCGTGTCGGTGGAAACGTGACTATCGCAGGTAGTCGATACGTTGGGCAAACATTGCGCTACGCATATCCGCAGCGAATTCGCGAATAAAGCAGCCGCCAAGCCCAAGAAGCGTAATTATTTACAGTCGTGTGATACCATATGGTTTACGACCTATTTTCACTTGAACTTCTTTCCGTGAGACGTAGACACGCGGCTAAGCTGCGTTACGACTTCGGCGCCGGCGGCCCCTTAACAATAAATTATTAAAATCAGCGGCAGCACATGAGTTAGGCGCTTCAATTATTATCGAATCAGCAATTGAAGGCGTATCGAGCCTCCCGGGCCTGTGGCTTCGCGCCATCTCGCAATCGGTGAACGTTTGCAAGTTGCTCGCCTCCGGGGAGGCAGCGGGGCAGGTGGTCCAGTGGGCATGTTACGTCACGGAGAGGAAAGAGGTAATGACTCATGGGAGCCGATGAGACGAGGCGATGGGGCTTGCCGGAGGCATCCTCGCTATCTCATCCGGCGAGGCGAGAAGCTAGCGGCGCGTGCCTCCGAGCGGAAGGATGGTGAGTCACGGCAGTGGCCGCGCGATTCCGTGCCGGAGGAGGTAGGGAGGGCGGGTCACGAGGGGACGACGACTACGATGACGACGACGACGACGACGACGACGACGACGACGACAACGACGACGACGACGACGATGACGACGATGACGACGATGACGACGATGACGACGATGATGACGATAACGACGATGACAATGACAACGACAAAGACGACGACAATAACGACAATGACAACGACAACGACAATAACAATAACGACAACGACAACGACAACGACAACGACAACGACAACGACAACGACAACGACAACGACAACGACAACGACGACGACAATATCCTGATCCTGACAGGGATTCGCGCAAAGTCGGCCAAAGTCGTGATGCGCGCACGAGGGTATCCGTGGCCGGCGATCACGCGCGAGTTCGGACCGCTTTGTCACGATAAACGGAAGCGGCTTTATAAATAGATACTTCCGTCACTGGTGGTACATACACGAACACAGGGTCGACTCTGGGCGCGCGTTGCGAATTCACGATGGAGAGATTTTGGTGGGGGATGCTGCTGTTGGCGCTGCCGCTGAGTGTCTTGTCGCGTCTTTCCGCTTTCTATTTGCGCAGTAGAGCTACGACGAATGAATAATGGTGACGAGTGATGGTAGTGGTGGTGGTGATGGTGGTGGTGGTCGTGGTCGCTTCATCAGATCCCGTAACGACCGAAATATTCGGTATTTGCTCGCGGGACCTTGTACTTTCGGAATGTTCTTCTAATTTGCGAGGAGCTTCCTTTCAATATCGACGTAGTTTTTGGCATCACCGTCATCGTTAGGCGATTTTTTCATTTATCCAAACTCACTCGACCTGTAGAATTCCGTTGGATCGATAAATTGTATTTTTCAGATGACGTTTGCAGACTCCTGATATTAAGTGACTATAGTAAGTTAATAACGGGGGAATATATCTCGCATTGTGACATTATGAGGAATCGTCGATTTGCATTTAAGCTGCCTAATAGTATTTTATCTTATCGCACAAAATGCTACGATAATGGGAATAAAATGGGCGAATGATAATGGCCAAGGTCAATTAGATATTGTCGTATAAAGTATAGAGTCCTGTCCAACTCAACTGTTATTTCCATGTGATGTTAGGCTACTATGGTCGAGACAATTGCTGCAACAATGGCACGCCTACGTTGCATAATCGAAGGAAGTTTTTTTTCATTAAAGTAAGTCGCTCGACAATCAAATAACATAATCTATTCTGGATATTATTTATCACGATATGATGCGATGCTTAACGTTGCAAAGGCTAAAACATTATCATGACAGAAAAATTTGCCTTTCAAACGTTTCTCGCCACTTGGAAAGCGCTCGCATGTGAATAAGAATGAAACAATTTCGTTTTTTCGTTTCTTTTCTTTTTTCCATTTACCACGCGAGCGCATTTTAATGAATCATTAATAAATTGATTACTCATAAAACATTTCTTTTGTGTGATAATGTGCTAAGCATAATAACCTATCTAAACTATAATTCTTTTGTCAAATGTACGCGCACATGTCACTCGATACCTTCTCGTGTAAGAGAACAAGAGAATACAGACAAAATACGCGCGCGTGGCGCAAATCTCTTTACTCGAAAGTAGGCTAGTCGAGACTGAAAGAGGAAATACGAGGATAAACACAATGATAATTAAAATCCTCAGTGTGGACATTTGCATCGGGTTTTAGTTTTATGGGGGAGACGAGGCCGTGCAGCTCGGTCTTATTATTAAAGGATGGGAGGAAGGACGATGGGGAGGAAAAAAACCGTCGATCGTCGATAGGAGGAGGTAGGCTGGATCTGCGATTTGCGCGCATTCGACGTACACGTACTAATGCCTGCGAGTGCGTGTGCGTGTGCGTGCGTGTTTGTGTGTGTGTGTGTGTGTGTGTGTGTGTGTGTGCGAGCGTGGTGGCGAGGGCCGGCATTGGAAGGGGTGGCAAGCGAAAAGGAATGCAAGCTGGCCGAAAGCTCGTGGCCGCTTTCGGAAAATTCTGTTCGTCAAACGCGTGGCTCACGCGACACTCCCTCCCCCCGGCGCCTCCCCCCTTCTTGCCACCGCCTCTACGAACGGGACGTGCATTGCGTGAAATTTCGACTGGCCAAGCATTCGAGGCTCGTCGCGCACTTTGACGGACATTGGAATAACGCGAAGCCGCAGCACGGCTACCAAGATATTTCAAATTTCCAAAATATTTAGGCTACACTGGGTACGGTATTTTCCTATAGTGGTCGTCCAGTCGACGGTTATCGAGAAGAGTCGCCGCATTGTCTGAGTTTTATTACTTAATTGTCAATCGTAAGCACGGTGGTCGATGACGATAATTTCTTTATTGCAACTAGGCTTCGCTACGAAACAAAAGCGCGCGGTTATCCCCGCCACTCAGTTATCCCCGAATAACTGGGAAGAGGAAACAGCGAAGAACGGCAAAGCTCGAGCTCGGTTAACCAGGTAATATGGCGCTTCGCGTCTCGCAGCCCTCCACGTGAGCAGTAACGAGAGCAGCATTTTGGCGTGCGTTTAATGAGAGACGCGAGTAAATGGAAAGATCGGAGTGGAATGAAGCCGGGGACTTTGCGCCACGACAATGCCAAGTCGATTGAGATTAATCGCGGTGGTTGCGCTTCTTGTTACAGATGAGCCCCGTTCGAGGTGCAGATCGTGGGACGACGTAGGGCCGACGAGGATGGAGACCGTCGGCCAGCACCAGCAGCAGCCACAACAGCACAGGCACGGCCACCACCACCATCATCACCATCATCATCATCAGCAGCAGCAGCAGCAGCAGCAGCAGCAGCAGCAGCAGCAGCAGCAGCAACAACAACAACAGCAACAGCAGCAACAGCAACAACAGCAGCAACAACAACAACAACAGCAGCAGCAGCAGCAGCAGCAGCAACAGCATAGCGCTCTCGAGACAACGAGGTCCAGTGCATCCGCCCAGTCGGCCAGGAGCGAGGACTCCTGGTGCTCGGCCTCGGACCATGATCTCTCCTCCGACGACGAGAGCGAGAAGAGCAATATCAGTATTAAGTGAGTTGGTATTTCGTTAATAGCCGACGTTGGCGCGTCAGCTCGATCAACGCTTGAGTCGCGGTGATGTCGGCATCTGGTTGGGGCGGGGTGCGGGGCGGACTAGCCAAGTGTCGAGCGGAGAGTGTCAGTGGCCGCGTATGCCCCACGGGGGGCCTTAATCGTCGCTAAAATTAAACTAGTTTCCTTTTACCGTTCGAATCTTATCGTAGGGAGTCGCTTTAATGCCTCGAGTCACTCGCTCCTCTCTCCTCGCCCCTCGTCCCTCGTCCCTCGTCCCCCGACATTATGCATTTTCATTCGGCTAGTTTGGGCAGTTAGCGTTTCAATGATTTGGAGGCTAAATTTCGCGTGGAGATAAGAAAATTTTCGACGGTTAGCTGGACTTCTCGACTTATTGGAGACTTTGGCACTTGGCAGCGGCAACAGTATACGGCGGGCAATTTATTTTGACGTCAGCTTCGAGAACGCCGCCGGTAAATTGTTTGTACGCGTATATGCAATTTGCTTATCTGTATTGATGAATAATGGCGCGTCATTAATGGAGGCGCATAAATTATGAAGGAATATACTTTCGACTTGGGTAGCTAGCTGTATTCCTCGGCGTTTTGCCCTCTTTAATTAATTATCATTTAATAATGTGAATGTTCAAGCAATTGCATTAACGAGCTTAACGATAAATCAATTTCTAATGCGCATTTCCTTTAAAATCGACTTTCCAAAAAGCAGTTACGAAAAGGCTACGACCATAAAGGAATATTTGCCTATATGGGCCAATTTCAATGGATCGAGCATCAGAGAATTTTAATAGAGTTTTGCTTTAAAGTAACACTCTCGAAGCCGTAGAATGTTCAATAAAGTCGTTTAATCAGCTTCGCGCAATAACACTTTTCCAAACCTTAGACGAAAAAACGCTCAAAATTATATCGCACTGCTTACCATTATTTACTACAACAACAACAACAACAACAACAACAACAACAACAACAAAAAAAACAAAAAAAAAAACAAAAAAAAAAGCAATCGAGGGCAAAAAATCAATAATGAATAATAATAATTTCAATAATAATCCATAATCATAATCATAATAATAATCATAATCATAATCATAATCATAATCATAATCATAATCATAATCGTAATCGTAATCGTAATCGTAATCGTAAGGGAGTGTAATGGTAGCGATAATAATGTAGTCGACTTTGATATTGCGATATTTATAATGTGGATATTTGATACGTTGGAATATTCACTGGCGTCGATTATTCCGAATCGCCTGATTTATTATGACATTTTAATAACGGAGTGGGCGTACGGAGAAAAAAAATGTTACAAAATTAGTAACTAAAGAGAACGAGTCAATTAGCCAGCAATTTCCTTCGTGGGGCGACTGGGCTGACGCGAGTTTAATGGGCCCGCGAGGTGGAAAAACATCTCGACACGCCAATTACTAATGCACAGTTGTCTAAAAACTTCCACGAGCATGCTCTTCCCATCTAATTAAGCGTCACATTCCCATGGAATTCAAAACGAGCGAGCTTTTATATAAAATGCCGGCGCCGATTTAAAGGTCGAGGAGACACGCGAGACGACACGTCGCGAGGCGCACAATTTTCGCCAATTTAAGCACATCGTCCCCGGCGCCCATGACAGCCAAACGTGACCTAGACTTAAGTTTAATTGATCGGGTGACGTTGGCGCCGTCGGAGGACGAAATAATGACTGCACGCGAGGCGGCATCGAGGCCAAAGGATAGGCCGCGCTGACGCGTTGCTCGCTAGTCCGCGAAACCCGAGCTCCTAATAAAGGCCCCACTCGACTGTTGTACCAGATGGGTCGGCAATGACGATGAGCATATAGTAGTGACAATGCTTAACAAAAAGCGCGTCGTCCTCGTCGTCGTCCTCCCCCCCCTCACCCTCACCCTCACCCTCACCCCTCATCATACTTATGAATCTTTTGTTGTACCAGAAGCAACTGCCAGCTGAGGAATACACTCCACAAGGCCCGGACGTTCTGCGATAAGTGGCGGGCCCAGAATATGAGGATCAGCGGCGGCGGTGGCGGTGGTGGCGGTGGCGGCGGAGGTGGTGGTGGCAGCAGCGGTACCGGTGCTGGAGGTGCTAGCCTGGGCGGCGCTGCCGTTACGGAGTCGCTGGACGCCACGGGCGGCCAGGGAAGACTCTCCAGGTGGTTCAGCATGCGCCGAGGATCGAGCCACCAGTACGACATCGACACCTCCGACTCCGTCTCCCTCACCAGCCCCATGAAGCTGCCACACCAGATGCCCCAGCTCTGCGAGGTCAGAATACCTTAATATACTCGATCTGGGCTCCCGGATCCACCTTTCTCCACATCCGGAGCGGCGCACTTTCCACCCAGTCGCGCTCATCATCACCCCTCTTCGTCCCGATCAATGGATATTCCAATTACGCTACTTCAGGGGATAAACGAGGCGAAATTAAGCTCGAGCTGCGGATGTCACTCAGC